CACCTCTCCCCCCCACCAGAACCCCGAGCTGGTGGCCCGACTGGAGCGGATCAAAGCCAAGCTGGCCAACGAGGAGTACCGGCGGATGACCCGCAACATCACGGGCCAGGTGAGGGGCCCAGCGCACCCCCCGCTGCCGGGACACACGGCGAGGGGACTTGTCCCCTGGAGTCGGTGCGGAGCTGAGGGGACGTGGGCAGGGACCTGGGAGCTGCTGCAGTCCCAGACTGTGTGGGGACAACGGGTCTGGGCTGGGGCAGAGGCAGGACGCGGCCACCAGGGTGGTGAAACGGAAGAGAGCGACTTGGGAACAGCTCACTGTGCCAAAAAGCTCAGCTCAGGGTTTGATCAGGGAGACTGAGCAGCTGCAGTAAATGTTTTACTGGGAGCAGCTGGGCTGAACGGTTACGTTTTCATCATAGTTTTAAAATGAGATCGTTCACATCAAGGTGAAAGCTGAGAAAACAGGATGATATTTGGGCACTTGTTCTTCCCAAAAAAGAGCTGAGGTCTGTTGGGACAAACCAGCACTGCTTCCTCCCAGCAATCCTTGTGATCCCATCCTTCTGTCCCTCCTCCACGCTGGTGTCTCTGGGTGTTTATGTCCCCTGCATGGATCCTGGTGTGGTAACTCTTGTGGGAAGATCTGCTTTGCTCTCTGCCAGGCTTAGCTGCTTCATCCATCGACCAGGGTGGTTTCAGCAGAGCTGGGCAGTCATGACAGTAACATTCCTGTGAAATATTAGTTCTTGGCAGCTGCATGAACACGGGTGACAAGCTGAGACCCTTTAGTGTCTCTATTAAGGAAATGGTCCCTTTTCCATGTCCTTGAATCAGGCCACAAGCAAAAGCCCAGAGAAGGGGACTGGGGATCTGCTGCTCCCCCACAGCCCACCCACCCACTGCCAGGCCTCCCCTTACAGCTTTCTGAGCTTCCAAGCCTTAGGGAGAGGACAGGACGTTGGCTTTGCTTTTATCATGCAGTTAACATTGAACTACAACGGGTCACAAGTTGTTTTAATCCCTTCTTTTAGGAGAGGAACGGGACACTGGCTGAGTTTGGAAGGGAAGGTGAGTGGCTGCCCATCCAGCTGGCACCTGGCAGTGTGGGCAGCACCAGGTCAGTCACTGTCACACTGCAGCCCGGTGACACCAGACAGCCCTTCCCTCACCAGTTAATCCCAACACCAAGTTTTAATGCACAAAAAAGCAAAGGGGCAGCTGCTCATTCTTACAAATATTCCCGGATGCACAAACCCTGTGAATCCCTGGGTGTTCCCGCGGTGCCTGGCAGGCTGGGTGAGCAGGATCACAGCCTGTCCCCAGTCCTACCCTCAGCCCTCCCCACAGAGCACAACCCTCTTCCCCTTCTCTCCAGTTCGCTCCGTTAGAGCTGTTGTCATCACCGTGTTCAACTTCCTGGTGACAGTGGTGGCCTCCTTCGCCTGTGCCTACCTGGGCAGCCAGTACATCTTTGCCGAGACAGCACCGGTGAGTGAGGCCACCTGGCTGGGCCTGCTGCCACCAGGCACCACCAGGGGCACTTATCCCTCTTCTTGTGTCCCCAGCGTGTCCTCTCAGCTGTCATCGTGGCCTCGGTGGTTGGCCTGGCCGAGCTGTATGTCATGGTGCGGACCCTGGAGGGGGACCTTGGGAAGCTGTGACCACACACGGCCCCGGGAGCTCTGGCCCTCGTGCTGGAGGCTCTTGCCCTCCCCAGGAGTCATTCATTTGGGGCAGGTTTATATTCTACCATCTGCTGTACCTGCTGATGGGAAGACTGTTGAATTCCTCAGGCCTCATCCTTTGCTTCCTGCTCCTTGATGTTCCTGAAACGAATAATGGATTAAAAATCCCGCAGCTGCAGCACAGAAGAGGGACGAGCTGTGGCCTCTCGCCCCGGCACAGAGCACTGCTGTCTCTGTTCCATCCTCTGAGGCTGTTGTCCTTTTATTCTGGAAATAAATGATGTTGCAGCTTTTCAACCTTCTTCCTAATGCGAAGTGTCCGTTCACGTGCAGAATGCTGGCCTGGGCTCTGAGAGACACCACAGAGAGTGGGAATCTTCCCTCTGCTTCCACCCACATCCTGCTTCCACCAAAACCTCCCTCTGCCTTCCCCCTCACCCACTTTTGGGAGAGAATTATTCCCTCGGGACTCAGATGGCAGCACCCCTGCCAGCTTGTGTTTGGGGGGGTGAACCCTTTCCCCTCTCCAGTCCACGAGGACAATGACACCCAACTTTGGGAAGCCCCTCCACGCAGCCCGGGGACTTTTTGGGATGCCACAGAGCAACGAGCAGAGCCAGCTGGGTGTGGGGGGGACACTGAGGCAGGCACCACCGGGCCCCGGGGACCTGGACACCTGCTGGGTGGGCAACCTGCCAGTGCTGGACACGGTGATTAATGCTCTGATGGCAGATAAACCCCTTGGAGAACACACTTTAATATCCGATCCGGGGAGATCCGCCGGCACCTGCGAACGTGCCCGGGGATTAGGGGGAGCTGCACCACAATCAGCCACGGATACAGCCTCAGATTAAGGTATTTTTTTTTGTTTCTCTTCCCCAAAAGATTAGTAGGTATTAGGGGGCTGATGGGGAGGTGGCCCCGCCACGGCCAGGCTGACATTTGGGATATTGGATGACATCTTCAGGACCGGCAGTAATTCCACACCCTAATGAAATCGTGGTGATAAACGGGGGGTCCTTGGTGCAGGGGGGTAGGAGGGGGGGTTCCCAGTGCCGTGCGGGGGGTCCCTGCCGTGGCTCAAACTCGC